GGCTTATAGAATATATAGATTGCTGGCTTCGGTATATGCTTTTTCCACAATTATAAGATCAGCAAACAATCCCTCTTGTAATTTTTGAAATTTATTTTCGATAGTTTCATTCTAAAATGAGCATTATTTTAAGTCAGAAGTGTGCCATTTAAGGGCCTATTTTATCTGCCTCACTAATTAGGATTAGATTGACTATTTAAATAACATTAAACTTTAAAAAAAATAGCAAGTTCGTCACTTTATTTTAGTGAAAAGGTACTTAGGGCTTTCCGGGCCTTGGCAGAGTTCCGCATTTTGTGCAGTAGAAGGGGATCTACTATCTTCTGATTGCACAGCTGCCTCGGTTACCTCGAAGTTACGCGTTTGTTGGGATGACGCCAATGATCTAGCAGCCTCTTGATTAAGAGCAGCTTCATCACGAACTCTAGCCAGCTCTCGAGATAAAGTCTGAGCCCATCGTTTGTCAAGTTCAGCCGTTAGATGAGTAAAGTGGTCACTGACAGATAGCTAGTAGAGCAAAAACGAGGAAATTAGTTTTAGAGTTAATGGAAATTGGGTAAGAAAAGAGAAGTGGATAGTAGGTAAGACGCAAATGAGTGATAGCCAGACTTTTGGGAGGCGAAGGTAAGAAAAAAATGAAAGAGAAATCAACAAAATACCTCGAATGGATGAATTTCTGACACAAAATATTTTGGGGATAAACAATGCTTATCAGAGGGTTTCATTTTCATAAACCATGAACGAGATGGGATTATAGAATATCAAAGGCGTCGAATAGAAGTCGGAAATCATAAGGAGCGAAGCTAAACCAGTGAATGAGAAAACTTCAATGGGTAAGCGTTTTTTAATTTAGGACGAGATAATTGAATATTCCAACAGCTAGGTGACAGGCATGAAATTTATGCCCTACGGGCTTATATTGTCTGGTCCTGTAACCAGTAAGTTAGGCCAGTATTCGTTACTTACTTTTACTAAATGCCAAGCAGACGTCCAGATTAAACGAAGTTAAATCATTCGGAGAATAAATATACCAACCTGTGTTTATTTCATAGTCCCTTGATACCTTCTCAACAAACCAAACCTTGTTGAATTCGCTTTACCTTTGCTTAGAGGTGAGGTTAAAAGCTTACAGGGGCGCCCATTACTGAATACCTCTTTTGATTAGATTATGAGTGTGTATCACTATAACTTAAAATAAGAAAATATATCATTGTGAAAAATTCAATATTAAGCACATAAATCAGCAAATTGGCCTGGTTTGAATAATTTATTATTCTTCGAAATATGAGCCACCAAAGATAAATAAACCTTTAATCCTAAGGTCAAATACAAATATTTTTCCTCCATAATCCCCGCATAATTTATGATTTCATATAGTCCTGTCTTTTCCTGTATTGGACAGCCTAAACTATGTAGTAAAGATATCAAATTTCGAATGAGCCAAAAGCATAATTTAAATATAATGACTTCTACATATATGAGTAAATAATTTAATCTGAAAATCGTTGCCATAGGAAAACAACTCTTTCAACACTGTTTCTTCTATGAAAGATACAATAATTTTCCTGCTTTTTTTGGGACTAGCGATTTTTTATCTATATACCAAATAGTACATTTTTAGTAATTTATCACAAAGGTTGAATATGAACGATCTCCTAGTCTTTGAGTTTCCCATAAGGTAATAAACGAAAGTGAATAAAGTAGAAGACACAAATTTATCCTCTCTTGAAGGTAACTTTGACCTGAGAAAAGGAAGATCTTGCTTTAAGTATACACAATATTCATCTGAGCCCTTAATTTAGTCGCCGTATTAACTACACGTTGGATGGTTGTTCTAATTTGTATTCGACAAATAAGTCATGAACTCAGTCAGTGGACGTTCGTAAACCCTCCAAACATACTAGCATTCTACCTGTTACTAATCTTTTTGTCGTTGCGAACCTGAGTAACGAGCCAGCCAAAAAGCATTTTAACATCCATCTTATAGAGCATTCAAAATGCAACTATCCCTATTTTGAATAGTATACTTATCTATCTTATTTTTGGTAAATATTTGCTTATATCTCTCAATAGGCACGTTTAAACAGTAAGCTTAAGGCAAGTTAGTGATTACTTTTGCTGGGAATAAGCGTTAAAGTAACTCATTCATATGGCTTCAATAATATAAAATACATATTAAATGTCTCCATTGATATAATACCAAATCCTATTATTCATAAAGACTATGGCCTTGGCATTATACTGATTTCATCAAGACGATACTGCATAAAATCTGATTGACATTATTATATTTTACTATAATTTTGTAATTAATAACTTATTTCAGGCTCTAGAGCTACAGTGGTCTGAGCTGCCATAATTTTGTGGGTATGTTTGGAATAAACTGAGTGACATCGACGAGTTATGAACGGGTTAAGGCATTACGTTGTTTGACCTTGTTTTCACAACGTGGTCATAATGGCAGGAAGACCTAGAGGAACGCAATTTGTCCGGAGTCCATACTATGCATGATCACTTCCAGATTCGGACCGTAGATTTGCTACATTCCCAGATGTTTGTTGGCATCATCAGTGAGCCTTGTCGTTCTTAGCACCACATTACAAGCCGAGAGTGACAAATTAAGTCGATCCTTTAACCATTTATCTGCTAAACAGTTGTGATATCCTACTTTCTTGTTTATAGAGACCTATTTGAAACTTATTCACACTTCCCGCTGGTTTCCACATTCCATTTACTGCTGGAGTCTTGATCCAAAGCTGCAATTTAAACCCTTATGGTACTATCGGATTTCTCCTTTGGTTCACTCCTTCACTGCCACCGTATACGTGTTACTCAAGGCATTGTTCTACACTCTACATGAAGCCTTTTATAGTACGTATACACCAGCCCCACTAAGTAAGCCCCTAAAGTCTGAATTTTTAATTGGCATGGCAACCTAACTTGACGTTGCAGATTCCCTCAGCAATGTGCGGCATGTGCACCGAGTAAATTTCATGTTAAAGCCTTTACTTAATGGACCGCATCTATAAGAAAACTTATCTACTAATAGCCAACTAGAAATGGCCACTACTGTTTCTCTCCCTTTTCTATCCTTAATGCCAAGGATCCTACTAAGCAAGAGGGGGACTCTGATAAGACCAGAAGAGCGCGGATTGCGGATTAAACTGTAGCCTTGGGTCAACACTCTCGACACAGTGGGAATGAATGCTGGGAACCAGCAGGGAGTGTAAATAGGTTTCAAATAAGTTGAGATATTGTTAGATCAATGATTCTTAGGAGTATAAGGCTATCTGATAGCAAAAATTTGACTAAAGAGTTGGAACGGCTGACAAATATATTCCTGGAAAATAATTATCCTTTGGGCCTAATTAAGAATAATATCTCTCTACTGAGGAATACATTTTCAAACGGAGACCATTTAGTTAAAAAGACACAGAATGAGACCATTTCCCATGTCCTAATTTTGCCTTCATGTTTTCTCTCAAAAAGGATAGGCGAATTAGTGAAGAAGTGGGGCATAAAAAGAGTGTTCAAAGGAACCCTCACACTTTCTTCTATTATGCCATCTTTTAGAGAGAAATATGACCCATTGTCTAAATTCGGCTGCTACAAGGTTCTTTGCTCATGTGGTCAATGTTATGTTGG